TTTTTTAAATGCTTTTATGGGGGGAATACAAGTTGAATCATACTAATTATTATATCAATCACATGTGATTAATAACTAGCACACAAATGGATTTTCTATACTTTAAACTGTTTTGTCAACCAAAACTACTTGAAAATGATTATCAAATACTTTTACATGTTAAACTCTTTATAAAACATAGTTTTAGTTTCCAAATATTTACTTCCAATTCTTTAAACTCTTATATTGTCAAATCATGTCCAATACATATATAGTTATATAAGTAAGGTTTGAAGGACGTAGGACTGATAATACACTCTACTTCCTATTCCTTGTTTAGTTGTGGACTTAGAGTACCCTATTATTTGTCCGAGTGTCGTTTGATCCTTAGTTATATATCATGTATATATGTATAGACATAAAAGCTTGTTGTCTTATTTCAATACACTCAATTATACAAACAACAATTCTAGTAAACTATAATAGGTATAGTTTAGAGGTATACTATTTACTATTTCTAGTACAATGAAACATATAAAGACTCAGTTCACACATGAGTCAATACATACAATAAACAATACATACATTACACTATACAACTGAACATACTTTAATGAGAATCAGAGAGAACATACTACTCACTAGACATGGAGAACATACACTAGTACATACTATTCATACACACTATATATTATACTAGAGAACTTACTATGATGAGAATCAGGGGAGACATACATTACACTAGTACATACAACATACACTACACTATACAACTGAACATACTTTAATGAGAATCAGAGAGAACATACTACTCACTAGACAGGGAGAACATACACTAGTACATACTATTCATACACACTATATATTATACTAGAGAACTTACTATGATGAGAATCAGGGGAGACATACATTACATACACACTATATCATATATGTGAGGCACTACTTCGGGGCATGGCAGCTCTGTCATGGCTCGTCTTGTATCCAGAGTCTCCTGAAGGGAGAGCGTGAATTCGTATATAGATCTATACTGGACTGACCGTCCTAAACCTTGCTGCTAGTTACAGTAGGACCTGCAGGTCTTCGGGTGATGAATGTCATAACATCTCGACATCTTCGAGTGTCGTGTTTCACTAGGTCGATCAAGTATGGTTACAATTACATCACATTATACCTTAATTAACAATTGGATTAAGGTAATTACTACAATAGTATTTATAATATTATTATACTACAGTACTTCATTACTTTCCCATTACATCTACATTGTGACCTCCTCACATAAAGGGTAATGTAAAACTATATTTTCACTAATGATAGTCACGTTTGGGAAAAATACTCAATTTTACAATGAACAAACATACAGTACACTTGATGCCTTGGTAGAAGGCTGCTTATAATGGAAAATATAGGATTTTCTATGAGATACAAACAATTACTACAAACATTTTACGTACTCTTACATTCAAACACTTACAAAGATTTTATATACTCTTACATTCAAACACTTACTAACATTTTCATACAAATTTTAACACTAAATACTTATGAACTCACCAGCTTTAATGATGATAAACTCTTCCAAAATAACTTGTCTTCTAAGGTCATCAGTAGACATGTACCTAGGCTAGCTTTTGAGAAGATGGAGCACATACAAGACTCATCTTTTATTTTGATTCATATTTTGGTATCTTCTAAACCACATAACACACTTGTATTAAAATTATATTATTAATGCAATGGATGATGTTGTTTACTTGTTTACTATTATTATGTGTTGTGATACTATACATGACGTCCTCCGCCCCATAACGTTTCCGCCGTTCTTGGTTTTGGGGTGTGACACTAGACAAATTGACTCATCGAGTTACCAACTGAACTCGTCAAGTTCATGCAACTCGTCGAGTCTGATCATCAACTCATCGAGTCTTCCTATCAGACAGCAAAAATTTCCAACTTTTTGTTCTTTCGGGAATTTACTCTTGCACCAGTTCAATTGAAAAACATCCTAAGCTTTGATACCACTGAAGGGTAGTGAGCACTACAATATTCTTATGGTGTACATGCAACCCTAATGCTTTGGATCTAAGTTTTTCTCTATTGAACATGCAAATACAAACTCCAAAGCAATAACCCTATGACTAGCATACAATTTTTGAGATTGACACATAAATTAGGGTTTAGATGTTACCTCTCTTGTTATATAGCAATAACAAGTTCACCTTGAATATCCTTGATCTTTGAAAGATTAGTTCCCCAAGTGTTGCACCTCTAATGTAGTCACAAACACTCTTGAGAAGGATGACTTGGAGAGATAATGAATTATGGGTAGTGTCTCTTGAAAAACCATAAGGACAAAATCCATTGTGTAAGGGGCTTTATATAGTTGGGATCATTAGGGTTTTTAGGTGGAAACCCTAATTTCCTTACTTAAGCCTTAAGCAATCCATGGACCTCCTGAATTAGAAGCCTTAGACAAATTCTATAGGGCCTCCTATAGATTTCGTCTGGTCCTCCCAAAGGAAGTCCAATAGCCCAACTTTGCAATTATCATTGATTTGCAAGATTAGTCCCTCCATTATTAATCAGCTCCTTTAATCCCAAAATTAATACTAGCTTAATTTCTGATTAACTACTAATTAATAATATGATTTCCAAATAATATATTAATCTTATAATATATTAGTAAAATAATTTTGACTATTAATTTATTATTCATATAATAAATCCTACTCTCGCTCGACTTGTCATCCTATCAAGTTACATGAGTGAAGGCAACCCAAAAGGACCATGCTTATAATCCAATCAAGTGCAAACCAAATATAGTTATGGGCTTAGAAACCTAATCTAACAATAATGGCAAGACTATGTTCGGGACATAACATCTTTATTGATTATGATATATGTATGGCTAACTGTTATGTATGACAGTATGTGATTTATGTGCTTATATGCTAGACAATATTGTGTTGAAAAAGACCGAAGGGGTAGGCCAGCACCCATATATGCTAGGCAGTATGTTGATATGTATGGTATGTGGTATTTGAGGAACTCACTAAGCTTCGTGCTTATAGTTTTCAATTTTGGTTTCAAGTATTTCTAGTTTTCAAGTAAAGGAGCTCGGGACGATCGCAGCGCATTCACCCGTGTTTTTCAGCAATGTGTGATTTATGGGAATAAACTCTCATAAATGTTTTATTTGAAATGCTTTTCTATGTTTGAAAAAAGTTACAATAGTGTTTTAGATATATTAAAAATGAAATTTTTGGTCATGAATTCTAAGGATGTTTCATAGAGTAAGAACTATAAAAGCCCAAAAGTTACTATAAATCTAGTACCTATCACATATTTATAGGGAATCCATAAGTATATAAAAATTCACAAGGGCTTATACAATCACGCTTTGACACTAGAACACGCCCTTATGTAAAACATACAAGACAGGCTTCGACATTAACAAACACTAGGACACTTCGACACCTCACAACTGATTTCGACCTCAACAACAACGAGTATAAAAAACCTGGCTAAAATTTAGAATGTTTGTAGAGCAGCTCTGGCCTAAAGGTTAACATTCAAAAATCAAGGTTGTTTGGAATTGGTGTTCCGATGTTGTTCTTCAATGACAGGCACAAGTGTTAGGTTGCCTTCAAAGCTCGTTCCCGTTGATTTACCTCGGAGTGCCCGTATGGGCAAAATATGTAATTACAAAAACATTAGCGACCAATAATTGAAAAGTGACAGTCAAGATTATCAGTATGGAAAGAGAAAATATTATCATTTGGACACCGTCCCACCTTAATCAAATCAGTACTCAATCGTCTCCCTACTTACTATTTCACCTTCTTTAAAATGCATGAAGGGATCATTGATGAATTGGAGACATTGGGTTTCATGGTCAAAAGTGGTGGCAGTGAAAACAAATGGAGGTCTTGTTGTAGGAATGTTAAAAACATAAAACCTAGCATTATTAACAAAAGGGTGCTGGAAATTAAAAACTAGTCATGCTTGTTTATGGAAAAGGTGTGTAAATTGTATACACAATTTGATGACATGACCGCTTACGGTTATTGCAAAGAGATCGATAAATGGCACTTGGTGTAACATAGCAAAATCAATTGATTCCCTACCTGAATTCGATGTTAATTACTATGAAATGTTAACTATAATCCCTTGCTCAAATACAACTTTCCTATTCTAGAACGACAAATGGTGTGGTCGCCTTAAGCTTCAAGAATGTTTTCAAGGCCAGTATAATTTGGAATCAACAAAGTTATGCTTAGTTACTGATAGGATTAAAACTAATGGTTTTAATTGGAATTGAAAAACACAACATATGGTCGACGAGGTGGCGCAACCGACTTCGCTAGCTTATGTTCGATGCTCAGTGAAGTCAATACGTTTCCATTTGTGAAAGGTGTTCGTTTTAATAGGATCAAGGATGGTAATTACATTGTGTACACTTTACAAAAGTTGTATGACTCCAAAGCCCATAATGCATAGTCTAGTGTACAAAACAAGTGATCATCTACTGCAAGATTGCGGTGGAGGCCTGAGAATGGATTCTCAAATAGTGTGGTATACCGGTTACTCAATTCAATAATGTGACAGATTTCATTAACTTCGTGACAAACGGGGAAATTTGCCAACGTAAAAGGAAAGGATTAATGTGGTTGTTTATGGATTGTTATGGTTCATGTTATCATTCATTTGGGTGGCAAGAAACATGGTCTTTAAACAAATGCATAAGAAGTGATTTCCTAAACATATTTGTTGTTACAGTATAGATTTGTTGGTGTTAAAGTATATCTTTATTTTGTTAAAATCTTTGTACTTTGCTATTTCTTTCTTTGTACTTACTCATGATTTAGCTACTTGCTAATCGTGTAGCCCTTTTATTTTAATTCATTTGTCATTTCAAAAAAAAGAACACTTTAAAAATTATTGAAATGATCAATTTAACCAAGTCCATGAATCATCAATTATAAATAAAATTTATTTCAAAAATAACGAAATCCATGTTACTTAGAGGTTTCATCATCGATCATAAGCTTTATTTCGTTATCACCGATCGACCTAGGATCTTTGTACAAATCTGATCCTAAACGCACAACATTAACATAATCTTGAAGTCCATGAGCTGGTACTCCTGCAATCATTAACCCGATGAATCTATACATCTTAAGTACAAACCCTTCACGGTAGTCTGCTCCCCGTGTATATGGAATCATAAAGCTTCTTATGATCTCCCATATTGCATTGATCAACTTCGGTAAAGCTGATAATGGCGAAAAATAGTTCTTGTTTGGTTCTTCCTCCATAAGCTGCAATAACCCCGTGAAATAGTAAGACCTACCTACGTGTCAAATGAGAGAGAGAGAGAGAGAGAGAGAGAGAGAGAGAGAGAGAGATGCATGCTTACTTTTCCATTGTAAAAGCTATCGAAGTATAAGCAAGTCCCAAAGTGCTTAAACATCATGGTGGAATCATCATAAGGTAATCTTGGCACCAAATCGTTGCTATAAACAGTCCTATAATACTTCACGTCAAATTTCCCCAAATTTTCTTTCATGAACTTTCCAAATCTTTTGTCCCCGACTCTTGGTTGCCCAAATGTGTACACACCCTCTAACATATCCAATAACTCTATCTCATTATGAGACATTAGAACTGCTGGAAAAAGTACGGCAAGTGCACCACCTAAGCTGTGACCAGTTACGATAAACTTAGCCTTGTTATTTTCTTTCAAAGCTCGTTTTAGCATGTCCCTAATGACATAATATGCTAATGGTTGTTCTTGATTTTTGGTTCGATGAGTTAGTTCTTCTGGCCAACCTAGACTCTTTTGTAACCCTAGGGCTTTCATAAACCCACCATGCACTTTACCTATCCCTGGGAGTTCATACCATGAAAGATCGACATCTGAAGACCATGCATCTGCATCGAAGGTCTCGGTTCCTCTAAAGGCGACAACTATCAAGTCAGAATCTTCTTTCTTGTCACGAAGTATGAAGGCTTGTGTTGTGGCTTTCTGTTGATAATCTTCAAAAGATATACAAATGATATGTGAGATGATATTTTTAATTTATTTAGGAAAGTTGTTCGTAACCTTCGTTTAGATACTTTGTTACTTACCATTCCAAAAATCAAAAGACCCTAATAATTCCATCTGCAATTAAAATGTTTGGTCACATACAACATCTAGAAGAAAATACATATTTTTGTTAAAAGAAACTAACTATATATAGTACCTTCCAGATATCAGTGATAATATGTTGAATGTAAGCATGGTTTTCATAAGATGCTTTAGCAGCCATGATTGAGAGCAAGCAATTGTATCTATCTTTATCTCCAGATTCAATAATGTCTTTATCTAACTCAATTCGTGTATCTAGACATCCAGTAAAAGATATGAACGTCGATAATGATCTTTCAGGTCTGATCATTTCCCCTACAATAGAGAATAAAACAAAATGAATAATGAAAACGACTGAAAGTTTTGAAGTTTAACCTTTTGGCGTATTTGATTGTCGAAACTTTCATTATGAAACCTAGAATTTTTTAGCTTAAATTTCATTCGTAGTATATCTCGTTATCGTAAAAATACGTCAATAAAATGATGACTTGCTTAGTGAAGCAATGCAATGGTTGCAATTAAAAAAAAAAAAAAAAAGGTGGCGTTTTTTTTGTCGAGTTGATTAATTTCATATTGGAAGGCTCGACTTCTAAAAACTAGTCGATCAAATTTCTGCCGACTTATTTGGGCTCGATACAAGTCGAAGTATAATGAATATGACGGGGAAAGTACATTTGTTATCCTATTATAATGGAAAGTCCATTTATAATTTAAAACAAGAAGCCCAATACCGAAATATCTGGTTTGGGAATTAAAGAATGTAAACCCATTTGCTATGTATGTTGGTCGAGTTATTTCCATTTTGGATAAAGTAAACAAAACTTAATTTATACATTATTTATTTCTAAATGGGTATTAAGATGACCAAAACTATTAATATTTTTGTTAAGTTAAAATTCAACCGTATACATTTCTTATTGAGGCCTAACTTCAGAATACCAACGACAAGATTAAAATCAATTCGATGGTATTTTCACATTAAAGATCCAATTTTGTTTAGAAATTAAATATTCTTCTAGATTTTTCTTCATGCATATTATCCGAACAAATATTAAATGGTGAAAAGTGAACTGATATATTATTAATTTCATTAAATGTGACACATATTAACATTTGAAATGGATATGAAAATAAGTAGGAAGAAAATGTAGATATATATTTAATTTCTTGTTTTTTTTTTATTAATCAACAAAGTAAATATATTACAAGAAGGCTTGTGGTTTTAGAAGAATAGGCCCAAAGTGTGCTTAAATAATAGTTTCGATAGACTTAAATACCCTTTGTGTTTTATCGGAATATATTGTCCGAACGTTCAAGCATAAACTAAACTTGTGAAAGAGAGACATGGAAAGCCCTTTGTTGAACGAATATGCATACCATAAACTAAATGGAAGATGAAGACTTGAACATGACCAAAAGCAAGTTAGTCAAGAAGAAATTCATCATGAGATGTGTTTTGGGCATCAATCTATTGGATAACATATACACAAACTCACTTTATAATCATTGTCCGTGGTAACTTCGTGAGGAGAGGAGTGAATATCTCAAAGAAGATTATGGGAGCTAACATGTCTTCAAAACCGTATTAGCAACGTCACGATACTCAGCCTCGATTCTAGAATAAGAAACAATAGTTTGCCACTTAGATAACCATGAAAGGAGGGTACTGCCCAAAAAACTCAATAACCAGAAGTGGAACCTCTGGTGTTCGGGCATACGCCCCATGTATCTTTAAACTATGGGAGATTTTTAAGACATAGGCAAAGATACCCTAATTATATCATGGAATGAACTTTTAGAGCAACAAAATGACATTTATGCACATCATACATGAATAAGTATGTCTAATAAAACTATATATGTGAGGTATCGTTTCGTGAAAGTAAAGCTACTTAAGTGAACCGACAAGCTTGAAATACTTGGTGTGGTTACGAATTGGCGGTTCAAAACTATCTACCTTTGAATTTGACTCAGTGTATGCTATGCAATGTTACATGGTCTCATGCTTAAGGATATCAATGGTGTATTGTTGTTGGCTAAGTAAATACCTAAAGGGATTTGATTGGTATAGATCCTGAGAAAGTAGTTGAGTTTATCTAAATCAAACATGGAAATCTTATAGCTCACAAATTAATGCCTTGTCATAAGAGAGTCATGGACTGATGGACAATGTTGGCAAGTCGAGGTCATCTGCATAAAGTAGTTAGTAAGATCTAATGGTACAAAAATAGAATAATCTTTTTTTCTATTATTAAACCAATCGAATTAGAACACTATTGGAACCATACTTATGTTGCTTACTTTAGGCCATATATGGAGAGCGATACATACGGAATACATGATCCAAGAAAACGGTTTTCATAAAATCCTTAAGGCTGGTGCAACAAGATAGTCTCTTAAAGATTCCCATAAAGGAAGGTGTTCTTAATGCCAAACTAATGTGTGGGCCATTAGCAAAGGACAAAAAAAATCAAGAATAATCTATATGGTCGTGAGCTTGACTTGTATGCTAAAGGACTGGTCATATATGACATAAGATGTTGGTTTTTCCCCATTGCAACAAGCAATACTTTGTAACAAGCTAAGGGTCCATAGACATGTAACTTCCTTCTAAATATCTACATAGACCAAATATGAGAGAATAAGTCTTCTTTATATTAATATGTTTAAGCTATCTATCATAATCGTTGGCTAGGTCGAGTCCTTTAGAGTTGGCATATTCGATCAAATAGTATGTGAAAGGTTTTTATGTTTATGTTTAAGCGATAAAATGTCTTGTAGATTCAATGTTTGGAATGGGGTAACATTAGGTTAGAAGAAGTAGGGCATGTGGTAGGCACCGAGAGAGATGAAGTGGGTTGGAAAAAAAGGAAGTCGGTTGTTTGGGCGACGTGTTTGCAACCATATGTAGGTCGAATTCAAGGAAGGCATGTATGAGGCGTGGTTGGTGAGGGGTGGCTTGGTAGGAAGAAAGGTGAGTAATTGACATGGATAGGGAATTTAGAAAGGTGGGAGACTTTAGGATGGGTGTGGGAGGTTTAAAGTGAACATAATAAGGACCAAATGATGTAGTGAGAGATTTGGTGACCCGAGGAAAAACATGATAATGTTAATTAAGATAAGAAGTTATTGAGGAATTCATTCGAGGGTGGGCTAGTATGGGTCATGAACTTGAATGAGATAACAGAATCATCAAATTAGATATGATGGGAAATGAAAATTTTATTTGTGGAAAGGTAGACATAACAGTGCCTCGATGATGGGAAGGATATCCAAGAAACATACATGGGAAGGACATAACAGTGCCTCGATGATGGGAAGGATATCCAACATATAATACAACGGTGTTTCATTAATAACAAATTTGAGTGTAGTATATTTAGGATATATATATATGTGGCCATTTTCAGAATCTCGACCTAAAAATAGGGTGGAAGGCAAGCTTGGAATATAATGATACAAAATGTGATTACTGATGGTCCGCAACATGTGTGTTTAGATTTACCAATTTTTGAGAGGTGTGAGGACACAAAAAATGAAATTATATGCCAGGGTTAAAAATATAAATGTGAATTTGAGTGTTTTTATATTTTCAATTTCTATAAATTAGTTTTGTAAAACTCGATACTTAATATATAGTCGGTTGAATGGGAGTAACGAGTACCCGTTCTAGGTGGGGAGTACTCATGTAAAGTAAATAATAAAGCAAGTACTTAAAAGCCGAGGAGTATTCGTATAAAGTAAATTATAAAGCAAGTAGTTTTAGATAGAATAAATAATAAAACAAGTAGTTTTCGGGTTAGTTTATATATGGACAATATCAAAAGGTGCTTTAAGTTTCTAAAAAAATAGGATAATTACAATAAAAGTATACATGTTTGAATGCTAAATTTGTTCAAATAATAAACATTTAATTTTGGAAATCTTAAAGGTAAGAGTAAGGTCTATTTTACAATAGTTTAGCATTTTAATATCACAAAGTAATATATATATATATATATATATATATATATATATATATATATATATATATATATATATATATATATTAGTTTTGAAACACTTTAATTTTTTCCATTTTGAATTAAATTTTGACGATTTGACCGACTAGCCAAGTTAGTGCTAGAAAGGGCTCGCCCGAGTTCTCACAATGACAAATAATTTATTCCATATGGTAGTATTTTTTTGAAAAAACAAACTGATCAAATTTAGTTGAATATTTTGTCAAGATAAATACACTGATGGAAAAGAAGGTTTTTAATAATGTTTATAGTTATAAAGTCATTTGTTCAAATGGGGAATTAAGAGTGTCTTGGTCTTGTAATGGAAAAGAAGGTTTTTAATAATGTTTATGGTTATAAAGTCATTTTTACAAATGGGGAATTAAGAGTGTCTTGGTTTTGTAAGAGACATGGAGGATCTATTACCCAACTAAAATCGAAGGGATCTATTACCTAACTAAAATCGAATGAAAATGATTTTATTAAAAATTGTTGGAATAATACATGTGTCTAAGTAAAGGTGAGAGGTGCTTTTTTGTTCATAAACTAGACACTCACTTTCGATACTTCAAATTCATTATGCTAAATATATGATGAAGTGAAGTAACTTGGTTGGGGTTGTTTTGTGTCGACCGTTGGATTAATGTGTCTAAGTTCAAAATTAAATTAGTATAAACTTATAATTAGAATCAAAATTCTTTTTGAGTTGCACTCATACTAGAACTTGGTTAGAATAATATTTTTAAAGAGAGTATAACTTTATTATTTTATTATATGATTAATAAATTGTAATAAATAACTTGTTAATACATTATATGATTAATATATTAATTAAAAATAGAAAGTTGATTTGTTAATTTATTATGTGATATATAAATTAATATGATATCAATTTGTTAAATAATTGATTTATTAATTTATATGATTAATAAATTAATATGAAATCAATTAGAATTGATTAATTACTAATCAAAATTAATCTGGAATTAATTCATCTTATATTTGGGTATCAAGCAATTGATAATATACGTGACAAGGTTCTTTTCAATAATTATATAGTCGATATTTGCTACAAGGTTAACTATGGCCTTGATATCGAGTGCAATATAAAGTGATGGTGAAGTATCTAATTCTAACGTTGCATAATACAGTGTAATGTTAAGTACACTTGATATTCGTATAATCATGAAAAAAAAATTGTATCCATGTTCATCAATATGGTCTAAGCAAAGGCATTTCTCATGAAGATCATCCGGAGGAGCAATTGGGAGATGGTTTCGTAAATTATTGTTTCACAATGGAGTCGACCTTCATTATTTTGGATCTGGTTGGTTGGAATACTAGTCATATGTTGATCCATCGTTGTTGTCGACCATCCAAAACCAATGTAATGGGTTTTGAAGATCGCTCTCCATGTGTTAGAATTGAGAGGGTTGAGATTGAGAACCAAGAGAATGAATTGAATTCCTTAATGTTAGTGGTTAGGTAGGGTTTCTCGATGGTTGAATGAGGTTGTCGCCGTGGTTATGGGAATGGAGAAAGAAGTCAACAGAAAAAGTGTCGATGAGAGGGAAATGGTAGAAATGAAACAAAAAGGAGGCTAGGGTTTAAGAATTTTAGCTCGATGCTATATTGGATAATATTCTCTTATCAAGGGATCGATATCTCTATTGATCATTAATCAACAATATATATCCATACATTACAAGACGGCTAATTGGCCAAGACTAATTATATAATAGACCCAAAGTGGGCATAAGTAATACATACAATCTCTATACACTTATAACAAAATCATATCTAAACTCAAACGTGGTTCATATACTTTTCTTATTAATGCTAAGGTCAAAATGGGTTGGTATATAACATATACACGAACCAGTTAAATTTGAATTAAGACAGAAACATATAAGAAACATTAAAACTTGTTATTAAATATATGTTTAAAATCTCAAAATTATACCGTAAACCATATAAAGAAAGTAAACCACTTTTACCAATAATGGTATAAACGACATATATTAAAAAGAGCATATCAAAACTAACCTCGTATCCAGTTTGAGATTAACCCACTAAGGTTACGATTACACGAGACAAGATTGAGCCAATACTCTATACCCGAACCCATGGCAGCCAAAGGTTTCTTGATAGATTTAAGCATCTTTTGAGCCAAAACAGACATGGATAATAACCATCTTTGTTTAAATTTTTCCTCTGTCGTCCCCTTTGGACAGTCGACAAAGTTCCTTTTCTCTATTGCATGGGAGCGAAGCATGTGAACGAGATCAAAAACGCCAACCTCTTCATGATTTAGCAGCATGTAACTGCTTGAAAAACTCTTGTCGCAGACCATTTTAATTTTCTTATTGAACTTGGAATTATCAAAATGAGAAACACAATGAAGAATTTGATGAACAAGAAGTGGATTAATTTAATTAGTCAACGCGAGTCTGCCTAATACAATCATGCCAAATATGTCTACACATTGCGGCTGCTTTTGTAGGACCGAGAAATGAGTTGTATGGATACTTAATCGAGAAATCAATTTTGACCAAAAGAATGATAAAAAAAAATATATAAATGTGAGAAACATATATGAAAAACAATTAAACAGTTAATCCGACTAATATCTTATTAGATAATAATTAAATAACAATAGTTACATAAAACATATAAGGAACCTTATTATTATAGTAACGAGGAGTTTCTTTTTCGTTTTTCGTTTTAAGTACCAAGAATTTAATATTTTGTTACAAACGAATCTTATAAATGTATGTCACAATAATAATAGATTTATTTATTTATTTATTTTGTAAATTAATGCAACTTTTTATAAGAAATAAGATTGACTGCTTTTGGAAGGTACTAGTTGATTTTTATATAATTTTACACTAGATAGTCATGACCCGACTTCTATAAATTAATCGTCTAAATGGTGAATAGGGGTCAACCACGGCTACCTGGCACCTGCTAATCGTAATAAATAATAATGGCTTACTATGTTGATCTATAATATAGTGATTTCTTTTAATACGTGATTTCTGTTGATATGTTCTAAAATATGTGTTGAAATCTTTGTTGTCGTGATAGATATATCTGAAATCCGTTGTTCTTGTGATTTGTTTATGTGAAATCGTTAGTTTATATGATTTGTTTACTGAGAAGCTTGAAATTATTTGTTGCTGAAATAAGAAAATTGTTGATGCTTTTTTTGCTAAAATATGAAATGTTTATGTTATTTTTTGGTTAATTTTTTACTTACTCGGCTTTTATTATTGAATATGGTCCAATGTTTTTTTCTACATTTGCTGAAATTATTGAAATACTTTTTGATTATGTTGAATTTATTTGAAGGATAAAATTGTCATGCAATATTTTTCATTCAGATGCATATTTTAAAAGCCTCTGCACCATTGATATGTCTAAATATCATTTAGATCTTGCCAAAAAAACCTCCTATAATTGTGTATTTTTGGGACAATTTATAATTCAGATTAGGCTATCTACTTTTAAGCTAAATCAATGGCCAAGTTGTTTACCATGGAAGAGTAACTAGAATCACAACTTGAGCCTTTAATGACACATTACAACGTACATTGATTTTATGATAGACAAAAAACTCCGTCATAAAACTTGTTTCATCATTTGTGAAATGTTATTGATTTAAATAATTCAATCTGTAATTAAAATGCTTTGTCGCATTTAAATCTTTCAGAGAAGAAAAAACAATTTTTTGTCAAAAGAAACTAACTATATAAATATACCTTCCAAATATCAGTCACAATATGTTGAATGTAAGCATGATTTTCATAAGAAGCTTTAGCCCAAGAAGCAATTGTATATATCTTTATCTACAGCTTCAACAATGTCTTTATCTAACCTAATTCGTATGTCTGGGCATCCAATGAATGATACGAATGTAGATAGTGATCTTTCGGGTCTAATGGATCATTGCCCCTACAGTAGAGTCAAACCAAGAGTGAATTAGGTTAAATCTCATTCTTAATATACCAAGTTATTGTGAAAATATATCTCAATAAAAATGACTAACTTTGTCAATCAACGCAATGGTTGCAATAAGTCAAGTTTTTTTTTTACCGGAGTTAATCAATTTCATATTTAAAGCCTTAACTTCTAAAAACGATAAGTCACAATTCGAATGAAGCGAGTATTGAACCTGATCCGATCCAAACCCTTAAAAATTATATGGGTTTGGATCATAGTTTTTGATACGTTTACATGTTAACGACCCGTACCCGCTAACCCTTTTATTAAATGGGTCGGGTCTAGGTCATCACCAATCTGATCCGTTCATAACCCGTCCCGTATAAATTTTAGAAATATATGTTTATATTATATCATTTCTAAAGTTTAATTTTAATTATAATCGAAAGTCCTAAGGAAAAAGTCAAAGGCCAAAATATTGTTACATATGATTTGAGGAGTCAACTTCTAGATCATCTATTTACAAGAATCAATATATCATTTCATTAGTATTTAATCAAGCAATCACTAAATTTCATTTATAAATCAATAAAGTCATTATCAACCAGAAAAGTTTGTGATCGCTATTCTCTATCACCGCATTAGACATTCAAAAATCAATCGAAAGTTATCACAGTAGTGAACTTAATTCTAATTGACAGTCATCGGGTATGTAATGCGTTTTCTATATAAACATTTTTGTTTGATTATTCAAAAAACTTACGAGTTATGAGCGGGTTTGAATATCTGCTGATTCGATGGATAAGGGTATGCATTTGATTATTCAAAAGTCTGCGGTTTACGAAACGGGTTTAGATAGGAATTTGAAATTTATTAAACGGGTTTGGATCAAGGTTGATTCGTTCCAAACCCCCCTCTATTTCGAGGTGTAACATCCCGAAATATCAAGAGTAGAGTTGAAGGGCTAAAAGTGTAAATTTTGAAGGGCGACTCGGCGAGTCCATGGATGGACTCGGCGAGTAGGTTCGCGACTTTGGTCGCGTGTCAAGTGGCCTACTCGGCAAGTTAAAGATGGACTCGGCGAGTAGGTGGTGAGTGGATAAAACCCTAATTCTCGGGGTTGAGCCCTATATAAAGAACTTAACATCGATTCCCCTAGCCTCTTTACTCATCCTCAAGTCCAGAAACCCTTAGCATTCGTGTATGAGTGGATCAAAGTGCATTTGGGAGCTTGAAGGGTATTTGTTGAAGGAATCTTGGGATTTTGGAGGCTTGGAGCAAGGGGTTTTGCTTAGATTCAAGTTTCATTGCAGTTGGGGCGTTCTTTTGAGGTAATATCTCGTTCTTGGGCTGTTACTCATATGGATTCATCATTTTGGGGTTTATGGGGAGCTTATCTTGGTATGTTTTGGAGTTTGGAGGTTAGATCTGAGGTTGCTACCTCAGATCTGGAATGGGGAAGGTCTAGAGTGCATTAAAGTCCCTGTGTTTGAGTGCTTAGTGAAGCCATCATGTCCCAAACCCTAGCTCTAAAGTGTATAAGGCCTAGATCTCTTTGGATTCACGTAAAGTTTGCCACTTTACGTGATGGATGGGTTGTAGGAGGCTAGATCTATGTTTTGGATCAATTGCATGGCCTGGAATGCTTCTGTATAGATTCAGACCGGTGGTACTCGGCGAGTCACATGGGTAGACTCAACGAGTTGCTTGAAGATGAGCTGGAACTCGACGAGTTGGATGAATAACTCGGTGAGTAGGTTGAAGATAGCCTTACACTCGACGAGTTTGTTCTTGGACTCGACGAGTCTTGTCGAAGGGTCCCAATATTTTATGGTTAAGTCGAGAATCAGTGAGTCAAGGGATGACTCGGTGAGTTGGGTGCGAGTGGACTCAGACTTGTTGGACTCGACGAGTCTCGGGGTGACTCTGTGAGTTAGGTCGCGGATTGAGGGAAGTTCTGAGCTTGGGGACTCGGCGAGTTATCGGGTTGACTCGGCGAGTAGAGTCAGTCAGGGGTTGACTTTGACCTTGTCCAAGGGTTGACCAGTTGTCTTCCAGGGGTATTTTGGTAATTAAGGGTATTTATTGAGTTGAATGTTTTGGTGTTCAGTGGAGGTGTTCGTGTCGGAATTTGGAGCAGCAGGATCTTATCCTTTCAGCCGACAGTTTCGAGGTGAGTTATCCTCACTATATCAACAGGGTCTAAGGCACCAAAGCCGGTCCTTTATCGGATTGAGATCCGGGTATCTATTGTTATGTTATTGCTTTGATATCTTTGCATCCGAGTAGTTAGGATGGTATTCGTTAGAGACCTGGTTAAGGTCGGTATCCTGGTAGATAGGATGATGCTATGCTAGTGACCGGTTAGGTCGGTATCCTGTTAGAGTATGTTGTTTTATGTGATCTGCTAGATCGGTTTGCTTGAATATGAATTGTTATGTGATTGTATGTTTATGTGCACATGGTTGTTTGGACTGGAGTTGGGTTGGGGCGGGTCCTGCTTCGTGCTGTAGGCCAAGATACCCAGGGGCGGACCGGTTGTTCTGAAGGCCCAGCGAGCGGTCCGGATAGGCTGTAGGCCCCACGAGGGCGAACCAGACGTGCCGAGGCTCGAAGAAGGGACTAGGCCGACTGAAGGCCCGATGCGGGCGGACCAGTCATACTGTAGACTCAGAGAGTGGACCAGGTGAGTTAAAGGCCCAGTGCGGGCGGACCAACCACACTGCAGACTCAAGGGATATGATTGGACTCAGAGAGTGGACCAGGTGAGCTGAAGGCCCGGTGCGGTGGACCAACCACACTGCAGACTCGAGGGACATGAATGGACTCGGAGGGTGGACCAGGTGGACTGAAGGCCCGACAAGGCGGACCAGTCCCACAGTAGACCCGATATGCATGGCTGTTCTGTGATTCGTTATGAGATAGCATGTTATGTGTATGGCATATGTGGTTGGTATTTTGGGGGTATCTCACTAAGCTTTCGGGCTTACAGTTGTGGTTTAATGTTTTTCAGGTTCTTCAGGAGACTGTGGCAAGGCAAAGGCGTGATCGTACCGCTCCTCGTGTTTATGTTTTATGAAATGGACCAGGGAATACTCTGATAATAAATGTACTGAAAACCTTTTTGTAATAACTTAATGAATTGGGTTGCTTTTGAAAAGTTTAAATTTATTTGAATATTTGGGTCTTTACAAGTTGGTATCAGAGCCTTGGTTTGAGTGAATTGGAGGAACACTCGTGTGACTCCAGTCTCAAATCGAGGAGGGTTTTCAAAAGAGAATTTAAAATGGTTTTCAAAATAAGTAAAGGAGGACGCGGAGGTACGATCAGTCGGAGCCAGTAAGTAACCCCAAAATACCATACATGATATTTGTTTTATTGATCTTTGATAGAACAGCATGCTAGAGTTAGGCTAGGGATTTTTAGGATTTCATGATGTGTTGCCTGATTTATGATGCCTGTTAGCCTAGGGTTTCCTTGTGAGAGATTTCTAGTGTTCCTCTAGTAATGAGGATAGAGCGTTGTTATGTGTGTTTTCT